GTAGATTCCCTCGATATTGTCTCAAGTCACAAGTACTATAAGCAAAGATGAACTTAACTGCTAGCGACCATCCATGTTTGCTTATAATGTGAATATATTTGAATTTATGAAGGTCCAATATCTGATAGGTGATAAAAATAGTTGTATCGCATGAAGACTCTCGTCACTGAAGATGAATAGAAAATATTGAATACGGTAAAAAAAAACCTTTTGTATAATAATAATAGTGTAAGTGTGTATTAATAGGAATCTACAGTAATAAATAAAGCTATTATTATTTATTTTCTTTATTATACTACTCGTCAGTAGTAAAGACTATTCTATCACAAAACAATTTAAGATAATCCGAAATATTGTTTGAACTCCATTGAAATAATTTATGACTCAATAAAATGTTCTAACACTTGTTTAGAATGGTTCAAAATGAGTTTAAGTAGCTGATCTGTTCTTCATACCATTTTGATAGCAAGTTCATTATCGTATAACAGAACACCATCCGTCGTGGTTGAGCAAAGGACAGGTAAGAGTTCTATTCTCGCTCACCTAGTGGACACAGGTCATGAAGTTGAACTGAATAAAGCTTTTAAAGTTATCCAGCATATTCCATCGGATTTGCCGCATGGTTTACGAGTTCCTATTTTGCACAAACCAAACCTTCGCATCCAAAAGAAGTTTGTACAACCATTCTCGCTACCTTGGTCATCGGTATAGAGGAGTTTGCAGCAGAACTTTGATAAACTATCTTCTTATTTCCTCGATTTTTGTATTTTGCTTATTCTCAACATTTGTCTCTTAATTCTGACATAACTACTATACTACTGACCATCCATCAAAATATTTTGTTAGTTCCTACTTCTCTTTTGATATATTATGCAACATCACAACTGCTTGATTTTCGAATAATTACTTTGATTATCCTCTTTCTTCTAATTACTCAATGTTAGTTCGCAATCGATATGTCATTATGTAATTCGTACGCAACGTATCTACTCAATGAATGTTATTTCATTATTGTAAATCCTGTATACATATTAATGTAGAGCCATGATGAAAAACTAATTGAATAGAAATTTCTTCACTCGATTCGTTCCTTCTTTATTTGGGAATTTTCACTACATTTTAATGGCATTTTCACATAATACAAATAACGATAAGAATCCATTGTATGTGGCGATTTAAAGTAGTCGACAGGAAACCCTGTCCTACCTAGGTTTCGTACTAGCTGGCATACATCAACAAGACGTACCTGAAGTATTTGAGAATAACTAGTATTTCTTGGCGGCTTCAAGCATGCGTCACCCATCACCACATTGTCTGAGATCCTGCATTGCCTAAACTAGTGGCTAGGTTGCAATCAGATCAACAGAACTCGATTACCACTAACGGACTAGATAAACATAAAATTGATCACAACTCAGTGATTAATTGATTGTTTACATTCAATGCCTTACAAACTCTTTGTTGATGATAATACAATCTAAAAATAAGTTGAAACTTAAATTTTTTTTCGTTCTATTTTTTCTACTGTATTTATATCTAAATTTACTAATAACGATCTTAGTATAAGGAGTTTGTGGTGACTATTGAATTTTCACTCCTTAACAACTGACTGATTCCAAATAGTCAGCCACTGAAAGCCATGAGGTGCTAAACAGCTATACCATCTAAGCGTGGTACTTGTTAGAAGCGCCCATCAACGACCTCATTAGTTGATACCGACTCAGTAATCTAGAGGTTACGTGGGCACTAAAGACCGAAGACCCTGAAATCGACCCCCGGTTGGGTCGTAGATATGCACTTCTAAGATATCCCATACTATAACGAAAAGGCTTTCCAGTGCTCCCTGGTTTTTGCTGTTTATTCAACTGAGATCAGTCAATTATGTAAGCTATGACAATAGTGTGTAAGAATAAATAGAAAATTTCAAGGCTTACTTGTCAATGTGCAAAGGTTTGTATTTTTAGGTTATTAGCGTAAAGGGTCGCAAGTGATTACCATATGAGAACTTTGAGCAAATTAGACTGATATAGTTTTTTATATTCAAGTTGGGTAGTGGTTAAAAGTGAAATCCCAGAAACCATTTTAACCTATCTGGAACTTGTTATTTGGAAAGCAAACAGATCCAGTTAATAATATTTAAACGCGATTAATTATCACGTTTGAATATACTGATGTATATTTTTAAATTTACCTACTCTCAAACCATTGTATCAACATATCTATTCCCGTTAAGACAGACATTTACCACGTTGGATATTAGTATGTTCATCATTGTATATACAACCTTAGTGAAATCTAAACATAGAAACTGCTTTCAGGCTGCAGTTCCCTGGTTAAAAGATGACCCGAATATCTTGGTCAAAGTACAGAGAACAGCTACTCGTGCAGCTTCAGAATTCCGATGTTTACCATATACAAAGAGACTTCACTCTATCTTACCCCAGATTAAGAGGTAATCTGATTTTGATATACAGAATATTGAGACATTATTTTGGACCTGACATATCCTCACTTTTCCTTACATCTAGATCACGACATCTCAGAGGACATACTAGGTGAGTTTAAAAGCCAAGGACAAATAAAATACTTATGGCATACAGATTTTTACACCAAGTCATTAACTTTTGGAACCTGTAACCCGAAGAATTGGTGTGCGCACTTTCAAATGGTTCATTCAAATGGAGACTAGACACTTTCAGAAGCTTACTAGAAAAAGATTAACACTGGCTGTAAGCTTTCTGTCCTTAATACACAAATCTAAATCTGAAGTGAGTCAACGTTACAAAACATCCAGTAATACTCCACCTACATAATTAAGTTAATCAACACCTCATTTTGCAAGGCTGACGAGACATTTGCTAATAAGATAATCTATGTCCACTAAACTATATTAATAGTAAGACTATTATGTCACAATTTCCCGCTCATTTTAGCTTTTGGTGATGCTATTATTTTGAGAATAGTTACAATGATTCCGGAATAACATGGAAAGCGATTTATGAGAACTAAGTAGACCGGATGACTAATACATAACACTTGGACAGTAATTGAAGAGATGTCATGATCTCAAAATAAAAGCCTGATATTCTAAGAAATAAATGTTGCATTAGAAAGACTGTTTATATTGACAACATACATAATCTTAAGGTACATTAAATGTAGCAAATTAAAATTGAGTGCAACCGACTAGATAACTTCAAATGTTGACGCTGAAATATGAACCTGTATAAAGTTACTGTCGAATTCCTAACAAGTCATTACTAGTACTTAAGCTTTATTCCATAGTGTAATCTTCATTTTACGATTCAATTATCTTTGAAATTTTGCTATTGTTTATTTAATGATTAGTTTTAATAACGAAACTGACACAAACTTTATTTCTGGTCAAAACTATACAATAGTGTAAATGGTCATCTTTACAGTATCATAATACGTTGCAATGCACCTATATAAGTTGTTGCTCTGAATGTTAGAAGGGACAACAGCCTCATGACTTCTGAATGATCTCGGCTTTCATCAAGAGGTGTCATAATTCTTCCTTCAACTTCCAGGGCAGAGTTTAAATGGTTTGATTTGTTTAATCTGGTTAGTGTTTTTTTAGCAAGGATTTTTTCTACGGGATGGGGTTGCCAACCCCACGTTCAACCCTCCTCCGTTATCCAAGCTTGAGATCAGCAGTAACTCTAGAAGAGCTACAGGGCGGCCTATGCTTCCCACAAGTAGTAACAGACATAATTAAGTAATATGTTGCATGATATCTTTAAACTACAGCACTGAAAGCCAATACTAGTGAACTATTCTAATACTAATAATAAATTTCTACTATAATAACTTTACCAGTTTAGAGGTTGTGGAACTTAAGTTTTTTAATTTTTTTTATTTTTATTTCTTTACTTTTTTAATTTTTTTTATTGAGAAGCCGTGACCAGTGGAGCTAGTCCATGTCGGGAAGAAAAGGGTATCTACCTCAGTACAATGGAAGATGGTCGCGCAACTACGTGGATTGGTTGAGGTCAGACATTAACACCATTGGATGCCGACTCAATGATCCAGTAGGTCAAGCGTTCGCGCACGAGACTGAAGGCCCTGAGTTTGAATCCCGCAAACTGGATCGTGGGCGCGCACTGCTGAGGAGTCCCACAATAGGACGAAACGACCGTCCAGTACTTTCAGGTTTTCAATGGTGATCTAACATCAATCGGTTCATGATCTCAATAAAAAAATAACTTTACATCAATACAATTTACGTAACAATTGTTCTCTTCTATCTAAACCAATTTATTGAACAACCTTAGGTTATGTAATTAGTGAGAAACAGAATTCTTGTTGTTTTTTTTTGCATTTTCCATTATACATAACCTACTTTTCGAATACCAACAAAAATGTTCTACACACAATATTATGATTACAATAGTATTATTAATTAGAGACAATTCAACTATAATTCAATTTGTTTTCTCTTTAAAACATAAACATTTTTGTTCAATTATCGAAATGCTACTATTACCAACTGGATAGTCTTGTTTTCTGTTGTTTCTCTTTCTTTCTTTCTTTTTCTATACAGACATAGTGTACAATTAGAAAAAAATCTTTTGTCCTTTATTATATGTATACAATGTTTGTATGTGTGTATGCTTGTATATATCCGAAATGCATAGTTTCCGTATAAGAAAAAAATAATAATAATCCACAAAAGGGGGGTGGTATGATGATGATAATGATGGAAGTGTATTATGACCAATAATCTTCTAGTCTATTTCTTCAGGTAGTCAAACTTTACTGGGTAGTATGATTTTAAAGAACTGTTTGTTCATTGGATTATTCATGTGTCCATCGGACAAAATGATATGGATAGTCTGTCCATACTTTTTACGGGGGGCAGAGAGAGAAAGTGGACAAAAGATAGCGGTTGATCTCTTATGAACACAGGACAATGATATAAATAAATATACATACAGCTCTACGTAAGTTGTAACATATACAACCATATTTGAAAACGAGTGGCTATTTTCAACCTATTAAATAAATCCAAAAGTTTTTCTTGTCTGGACTATTTTCGTTCGAAGATTAATAAAATAGAAGGGAGATGAAGGTGGAGTTGTGTGTTACATTTCATAAAGAGAGAGACATATAATTGGTATGATCGATTCATTCTAATAGTTGACCAGTGTTTTGCGCGTATCGATCCAATATTAACTAGATTATAGTTCGTCTACATGATTGACGATGGTCAGAGAAATTCATGATCTTTCTGTATTCAGAATAAATAAAAATAAATAAACTTCGATTTGCTCCCCTTCTACTCGTCATAAACTAAAACTAGCCTTCTATCAATTTTTATGTAGATCAAGTTGTATGTATGTTTTACGGGCTTTTAAAGTCCAGGATAGAAGTGAAAATCTTTATTATGGTCGTTATGGTATTTCATTGAGTGGGTGTTCCAACTGGAATATTTAGATACAAGCAAATTAATCAAAGAATATATATATTTGAAGAACAAGAGAAATAAAAAACTATTCATTTATAAACTGTACATTCAGCACAAACATTATTTAACGAACTGTACAAATTCATAATATCAGAAAAGTATTTCACTACATATTCGACAAGCTACATTGTTTCCATAGAAGTCATACTAAAGAATAATCCATGTAAGTCTTCTTTTTCTTTAAATGATTTTATTTATCATTACTATCAATTATATGTTCAGTTAGTATTTCAAATGTAACACATTGTGATAAGAACTTCGACTTATTTAGCACCGATTTTTGGGTCGTAATATACTTTAATACACCCAACGACAACTGACAGTTCAGCTTGAATTTTGAAATGGATTATATACATTTCTTTAAATTGCATGAATTTATGCCATTGACACATATAGTACATATATACAGAAAATAGAATAATCTGTTATAGTATTTGTATAGTTGGAAAATAGATATCTTAGAAGCTTGTACAAGGCTAAAGAATTGATCACAAACACAGTATCGATTGGGTCCAAATGTATACTTTAATAAATAATAAAATGAAATCCATAGAAATAATTAAAATACATACCATATTTTTAAACAATACACTTACAGCAAATTGAATTATAAAAGTAGGCGGGTGTAAGCACATAAGATAGAGTGAGAGATTTGTATTTCTATGTTCACCTACTAATCATCAAACAATTAAAACGTTAAAAAACCAAATTACACAATTAAACTATAAGTTGTTAAGTTTTCTATTAACTATATTACGATTAAACAATTCAATTGTAATTCATTAGTTAATAAAGTAGCTTATTAGATAGTTATAAGTAGTCGATAGGAGACTATGGACTTGATTTTATGTGTTAAACAATACTTCCTATCAAGCCATACCTGTAATCGATGATATTGCAAACCGTGTTAGTTAGCTTCATAGTTCGAGATATTAATACTTAGTTATTTGAACTTCGAATGACTTACTATAGAATTGAGTTAGTTACATTGATTCACTATTACCTACTAATTTCAACGATGTAACATAAAAATGCAATAATCTGTAACTCACATTTACTTAGTCAGAAAATTAAATTTCATCTACTGGAAGTAGTTATGTTTAGTTCAGAAATTTTTTAAAATCTACATTATCAATCTTACTTAATTACTTACGCCTGTTACTCCTCGTGGAGGAGCATAGGCCGCTCACTAGTATTCTCCATCTAACCCTGTCCTGGAAAATTCTTTCCAGCTCCTTCCACTTGTTATTCATCCTTTTCATATCTGATTCTATTTCCCGACGTAATGTGTTCTTTGGCGTTCCCTTTTTCCGCTTCCCTTCAGGATTCCAAGTTAGAGTTGCCTCGTGATGTAGTTTGATGATTTGCGTAATGTATATCCTATCCATTTCCATCGTCTTTTCCTAATTTCTTATTCAGTTGGAAGCTCGTTTGTTCTCTCCCAGAGAAGGCTGTTACTGATGATATCCGGCCATGAATAAAAATGTATCATACTGTCTAAGTATTAAACATTTCCTAATGTTCATTAATGATTATTCAACAGAAAAAAATCTTTTCCTTATTGAAATATCATTAGCTATGCCTTAAAGAACGTGTTAAAAGGAAAACAAATATTATAAAGAGTAGTGAAATATAAGGTATCCAGATGAAGATTTATTACTTAGGTTTTAAAAAAAGGTTCCATTAACTTGTCTAAATCTTGTTTAGTGACCTGTTGGCTTCTTGGATGTTATTTAAGAAGCAACTGAAATTTACATTTAGCAGTTTTAATTTACTGTAACTAAAGGCTAGTGATACCAATACTTTCATTGTCAATAATGCTCAAAATCGTTTGCAATGGCGCAAGTGCATCCACTCTTTGTGCTCTCCCAAATTCTAGTTTTCTGAATTCTTCATGTCCTTTATTTTCTTTCCAAATATATTCCACTGTATTATACTCCTTGAATAACATCTTCAAACCCTAATCTTTCCGATTACTGCTTATACTTTTATTACCTCTACCACTACGGAATTTGAGTCGACAACTGCATCTCTTTGCTAATGTGGTATGGCAACTCGAACTGATGTACGTACGTACGAGGTTCTACGTTGTTACTGACTGACTGAATGCTCTTCCAATGAGCAAAATAAATAATATAATAATATTTTAAGTCTCATATAACCAATTCCCTTTGATTGTATAATCACTGAAAGGCAAGAAGCACTGAACGTTCGATAAGTCACTGAAGTATTCAATAATCATTTTATAATTTGTCAGTATCAAAATTAATATCAGTTTATCACTATGTATATGTTCTATATGCTACATTAATATAAGTGATCGACTGCGTTGAGTGACTGTCTGCATATAACATAACAGTCTTAAGTTTTCAATACATTTCTTAATTACTATTTGAATACTTTAATTAAAATATCATCTAATATAAAATGAAGGTTGATAGAAAATGATATTCACTCTGAAAACATATCAAAAACCTCTTGATAATGATGATTTCTAGAATCCTCTTTGTAATGATTATCATCATTATGAAACTATACTAGTCATTTTATAATAATTTAATAATTGAGATTATGAGCCAATTGAAGCTAGGCAACCATGGGAAACCGATAGGCCCTGTGTTGATGCACACTGCTGAGGAGTCCCACAATAGGAGAAAACGACCGTCCAGTGCTTTCAGGTTTTCAATGGTGGTCTAGTTTCAATTGACTCATGATTGTATGTGAAAGGAAGTTAGTGCCATTAATAATAGAGAGATTTATAATTTTTATTATTTTTTAATACACCAAGAATATCAGGTCATATAGATTGGCCACTTGGAAAAGAAAACACATTTGTACTTCGTACAAAATCAAACTTTTTGGTCGTCAGAGTACAAAACATTTTGTAACTGTACGGTAAATAGTTACATTTGTATCGAAAAGTCTTTGTTATCAAAGGAATTTATGCCAAAGTTGATGAAATAACGTTCTAATTACTATTATTATTATTATTACCAAGGTATTGAACTATCCTGTTGTCGATATTCAGGACTGAATTTTGATTAATCAGTTTCCGTACATATGTATTCTGTGTAGATGGTCTTTAAATAATCATTTTGTCACAATTTACCTAAAGTTAATGTGAATATCAACAATGGAATATTAGTACATACAACAGATGACTTCAGAATATAACAAAACGCCTGTCTCAAACTGCACTGTTAACCAAAAAACCATCTATTCTAAACATATTGTAAGTAGTGTATTGTTCACATAACGGTTCTATAAGTTAAATGGTACGTCTAGATAACATGAAGTATGGTGCTCTGAAAACTTGTATTTAATCCAAGCTAATTACTTTTTTTAATTTGTGATTTCTTTAAATTGATCTCATCATGAATTACTGCTCTCTAATTAACCTCATTTTGTTTATTTCTAAAGAAACATCTCTAAGAACCTTGACAATATTAGTCTTAATAATTATTATTCATACTTCAACTAATACAAGTGTTCTAGGATAATTTCACAAGATTCTAGTGGTAATTACTGACTTTATTAAAGTCAATCAAGTCATGGATATTTCATTAACTTATCAGTGAGATTTTATAAGCACTACGTAATAATGTGAATATAACTATGTTTAAAATTACAGACTATTGGACTCCATCTCAATTTTACAGAAACATGCTACTCACATAAATAATCACTTTTGTGAATTTCAGGACTCAAATGATTCACCTGTTCAGTGTTCTTTGATTTTGACTAGTTTCTAACTAATGTCATTTTGTGATTAAGAAGAAAAGAGTAACTTCAAAAAACTGTTTCTATCTCACAGTTTAACTTAACGAAAATGAAAATATTTAGAGAATACAATGAATTATTTATTTATTATCAATGGCTTTATTCAATGTTATAATTTTGGTACTGTATAGAATTTTCAACACAATGTATTTCAACAAGTTTCCGTTTCCTACTTCTTGATCGATATTGACGATCAATATTGAGTGATATTATCATTTTAGAAGTCGATATCTGAATAATATTCATTCTTTTCCATTCATACTGTCAGCCATTACGATATCTTCAAATGTACATTTTTGTAATTTGTACAGCGAATGATCGTAAACTTTTCACAAACTCACTTGAATAGGTTATGCAATTAATTGATTAAATGATCTGTTAAAACAAGCATTAAAATAGATAACTTGGTGAAATATCTAGATGACAGCAGAACAGGTAGCTCAGATATTTAAACAGGCGGCCTAATTTCATTACTTTCTCTTCAGTTACATACATATTATTAAGTTGAATATTTCGAATTATTAACGTAATATTGAATTCGAAAAGAAAAAACTGAAGTACCCATCCACAATCCATAGGTTATTTTCGTGTGCTAATAAATTCAGGAATTCAGATCATAACGGGGTTTCACTGTGCAACAATGATAAAAAAAGAAAGCTAGGAGATTAAAAAATATAGGGAAAACAGACAGAATTGATTGGGATCTTGAACCGATTGATGTTGGACCACCATTGAAAACCTGGAAGCACTAAACGGTCGTTTCGTCCTCATACTGGATCCCTCAACAGTGTGCATCCACGATCCCGTCCTGCGGAATTCGAACCCAGGACCTCTTGGTCTCGCGTACGAACACCTGATTTTTAAATCATTGAGCTGGTATCCAACTTTTTTGTATTCCCTTTGTTTTAAGTTTGTCAGGTGAACCACAATGAATGAGATATCTCAGATATTTGATTAGCATAACCCACAAGTCAATTATTCAGTGATATATATATATATATATATAATTCGTTTCATATCAGTTGAGATGTTAATTCATTTGTCAAGATTGAATTAAAAAGGTTTTCTATGGATTATCACAAAGATAAACTTTTCAAAATAAAGTTACATTTTAAAGAAATATGTACAATATTTGTAACACATAGTTATTCTTAGCCATAGGCAATTTGGAATTCTATTTTGTTTTCACTCTGTTTATTAATTATCTAACTAGTTTTAATAATGTGAAGCATATTCTGAAATTATGTGTGTGTGTGTAAGATAGAGAGAAAGAGATTTTGTTTCTTTTTCAACTGTATATTACTCAAGAACCATGGTATTCTATCGATATCTTTAAAAACTAATTAGCTAAGATATTGAATAATACTGAATAGATTAATGATA